TAATAATCATAGGTGGTTCCCTTAACATCAATGAACAAGAGGCTTACAATGCGCTATCGGATTTTATCTTGACAAAGCTATGCGTCCGTTTTTTCATTCCTCTTGCACCTTTGTTGCTGTTCCTTCGACCAATTTCTTCTGGTTTCTAACTTCGGCATGGCTCGGGCCATCTGTTTCCACTGACTGTTTTACAGGCTTTTCTTCTGCTGTTTTCTCTTCATCGGAAAAAGTAAATCCTTATCTGAACTGTTCATCGAATTCAATGATTTCGCCAAAAACTACTTCCCTCTTGAACAGGTTTGGTAACTGAATTTCATTGACTTCGCAAACGCATTTCAACTCCTACGGTGACCATCAATTCTGAGCCGTTCACTCGAGAAATCATTCAGTTGAACTCCCTAAATTTTCCACTATTGAGTTTCTCTGTTAATCCAGCGTTTCGCGAGAATTCTGCGATAATCTGGCATTCTTAATCCGTCACTCTAAATCCTAAGCCGGACCTGTCAAAAAATAAACTCGCTGCTGAAGAAGCGACGAAGTGATTCACCATAAATCCAGTCTTTTCGACAGTGGCCAAAATAAGGGATTACAGTTGCACGGCAAGGTACCCGAAGAATATTTTTTCATAGCCGTGAAAGTTCATCGAAGACGCTGAAAAAGTTAGCTAATAAGGCAATATCCACTGAGGCCAAGAATGACGAATTTACTTATGCCTTTAAGACATCGTTTTACAGAATGACTTTCTTACTGTAAGCCTGGACATTATTGTTGTTATTGTTGCATCGTCACTGGTTTAGTCGGTTTGCATGACGTTCAGAATCGCTGCTTTCGGTCGATCACACGCGATGTCCGTCATCAAGTTCAGCCATTCTTTTTTGACCGTTTGTAGCCGTACACTTCTCTCCCGAGGAGGAGTTCAGACAGAGCGTCAGTGTTGCAATGTCCCACCAGGTTTCCTCATTTTTGTGCTGCAGTTCGTCTCGACCCACCTTAAAGCTGGCCATGCAGCTTGATAATCAGCACAGAAGTATAAACCCAAATAATTATCATCAGATTATAAAATTTTTTTACTCTGTTATTGCTATACCTGTTTTGTAAGTTAGCGTACTGTATCTCATTCTGCTATACTATAACAATTGATGCTGTTTTCAAGATTATTGCCCAGCGTCGAGTGATGGCATTCTCTGCTGGCCACCGACACCTGCTAACGTTACGTCTTTTGTTCCGTGTCCTCATTTTTTTCAAAGTATTACAGGGGAAGGTTATGAAAATCGTAAGTGCTAGTACGGTACGTTGTAAAACTAATCATGACTCATTTTTTTTATTTTTATTAGACAGTGCTTGTCGAAGATGCAGCGGCAACTTTGCTTGGGATATGCCGAACTACACAGCTTGCCTGTCGATCTACTCAGATCTCGAAGGCCGATCGGTAAGGAGACTTTTGCATTTATTTTCAACTTTGGAATATGAATTCCAGCAGCGATGCTGAAGCAATGCGCACGTTTATGTTTTATGCATCGAAAGTTAAAAAAAACACATACGGCTTAAAATAGAACGAAATAAATATCTGGCAGAGAACAGATATTTAAAGGCCTGAAAATAAGCTTTATGTTTTCTCAAAACAGAGCTCTTCAAATTGGAAACTGTGTTGCTTTTTGATACACCAAAACGATAAACAGAAATCGGTAGTGAAAACGCTAATGACTGCTACGTAGCAAATTACTAGAAACTAAATGTTCAGGTAAAATGATGTGTCATAGTAGTTGTAGCGAATTTCCTTGAAAGTGCTACTAAACGAAAAGTTTCGCCAACGATCAAAAATGAAAACGATCTGTCGATCTAACGATGACATAATTTCAATGATTGACTCATAATTAGCTCCGCTTTGGGAGTTCGATTCCCGTCTGCTCTGGCCGATAGGGACGTTTCTTCCTAGGAGGCAAACTTCTTCGTTATAGTCGGCTCTGAAACGAGCGATAAAAGGAACTGGCAATCGTCTAAAAGATTCAGTCAGCTTTCTTCATGCAGACTCACAGTAAATTTACTGTGAGTTCCTTGATGGTTCAATGTACGGGTCTTTCTCATTTTCAGCAGGATGTTGGCCCTCAGCGAGAATACGGTCGCCGTGCTTCACGGCACTCTTTAGCACTGAAATAGCAAGCTGCTTCGTGAGATACTGTATGTCAGAATCACATAGATCGGTTAGCATCTTTAACAAACGGCTTATACAGCCATGGTAGCTATTTTTGATGCAATATGCCAGTAGAAGGGGACGGATTAGAGAATCAGGGGCATTGTGCACCCCTGTTCAATGAATTGCAGCATTTCCTGTCTCACCTCAAGACATTTCCTTCGTTCCAGAAATGAAATGGGATTTGTGAATCTGAAAGCCAAGGATGATGTTTGTGAATCCAATGAAAACCATTTGTCTCTCTTTATGCCAGAGTACTTTGTGAAAGTTAGGTGTAAATTATGAAAACAAAGCAAGATGGCAGAAAAAATTCAAAGTTATTTAACTTAGGCTAAGATGGAACTAAATTTAATAGGAAGAAGATACTCAAGAACAGCGGATCGGCAGTCATCGTCAGCCTATTTTCAGCCTTACTTCATCCACCACTGGGTGAAGGCTTCTGCAAAATTTTGCAACAAAATTCTCTCGCATGCGATTCAATTATGCTCCAGCAAATTTCTTGAATCAGTCTTATCATACATCAAAATATCTTCCAACAGGTCGCTTACCGTCTCTATGAATCCAAGCCAATGACTAAGTGGTCAAGCGATCGTCTGTCCTTCTCATGCACCGTCTATTTTTATTCCTGTTTCTTCGTTCTGACAACAGCATCACAGACGCCGGTTAATTCTTTTATTCATTCGTTTGCCTTCTTATTTCATGTTGCTATTCCTAACATATATTTTTCTATGCCGCTTTATGTAATCTGCGTCATGTGACCAACCCCGATGCTTCTTGTCCATTTTTAACATCCACGTCTTAGTATTTGGCACAAGCACAAGAGCAGTTTGCATGAGAGAAGTGTTGTCCGTCGTGCATAAAGTTCTTTATGCATTATTGCTCCTTCATCATGCTTTGCATTGGTACTTTATTGCAGGAATCAGGTGTCCCGGATAAACGTTGTTTGGCACTAAGGCCAGTGACTTCAACATGCTGTTGTTGAGCACAGCTTAATTCTCTTTCAGATTCGTTCTCAGTCCTGCTTTGATTTTGGCATTTTTTAACTATTGAATACTTTCAAGTCGATTTTATTGTCACCTTATCAGTTTCGTAGTGGCTTAAACGGTGTTTCCTCATTTCCATGATTTTTCACCGGGAAAATGTTTTCAAAACCTCTTCTATGTCTAATCTGAATAACTTCACTGCTGCTGCATGAGCCTAGTAAAGTGAGACACCTTTTCGGTTTTAATCTTGGCAATTTTTTCAGTTAACTACGGCATTTCAGACCATGCCAGTAGGGTCCATATATGTTCCCCATCCTCCTGCTGCTCAGAGCATACGGATCACTTGTAGACTGAAATCGAAAGCCTTCTTAGAATCGATGATTCCGATGAAAACAGAAGTTGATATTCGTTGCCTTTCTGAACCACGTGCTCCCATATTAAAGTGATCCATCTTACTAAATGTAATAACGCATGCTCCACTGGTCAGTTTTACTTTAGGTCTGTTCGTCACTGCTTTCGTTAAGGTACTACAGCAAATTCATCCACCTACAGTTCTTCGGGTCCTCTTTATTTCCCTTTTTATGTAGTAGAATCATCAATCGAGTGATCTAATCGTGGAAAAGTTTTCTTAACTTCAAACATCGTGAAAACAGGCGTAGTATTCTGATCAGTGCTTCATCTTATGACGTCACGAGTTCTACTGTAGTACTACCTTCTTCAGAAGACATTCCTATATTCATCTGTTTTGTTGCATATCGCACCTCTCCTGACAAGACACTTTGTCCTTCTCTGACTTCATCTGCATCTTCAGATTCCTTGTCGTCATCTAGATTGTCGGCGTTTTGATCTTCGCACGATTTTCTACAAAATCTTCCGCTCTGCCGAACACCTCTTGTCTGCCCTTGATAACCTGTTTTGTTTTGAAAGGTATGATTTATCATTTGCAACCGCCAACGTTTGATTTGATTACTGTAACCATTTCCTTTGCCAGGTGCTGTTGAATGGCCAAGTATCCTTATTTATCCTTTTGTCTAATCCCTACCAATCTGAAACGTATTCAGTTTTAACATTTGTTTTGCTGCTGAGTTTATTTCCCTATCATTTCTTATATTTTCTTTGGTTTATTTCGTGCCTTTTGGATCAAGCTGTCGAAGTTAGAATAAATGGAATTGATTTTAAGAGACAAACCAATCGTCATCGCCTGAACATCAGTTGTGTAGATATAGTGAGTACATATAATGTGCTTATGCGTTTTTCATCCGCTTCGGGTATCACGAAGAACATTATCCGTTATCGTAGAAATAACTCAGCATATTCATCAGAAATTTCCAGTAGCTTTGGCTATTAGAATCTTCTACACGTTTACACTTTTGCAACCTACTGCTAACTTCTATATGTTACCATATTTTAGCGAAATGCATCTTGATTTCTAGGTCCAAGAGCTTTCGCAAAACTACCTTTCTACTAGCCATTTTTACAGCCATAGCATGTATTAAAATTACTCTCGTTTAATAGACTGACCGTTGTTTTTAGGCTACTACGAGAGCTCACCTCATGTCAATGTACCATATTTACTGGATAGGTTACTGTACATCTCTTGCATTTCTGCTCGTGGCTTTGGCCATATTTGTTCGTTACAGGTAAGTTTTGACAGTTTCAATTACATTGTGTGGCGTTATGAAACAGTTTCTTCTTTAGATCTCTTTGGTGTCTAAGAAATATCATCCATTCTAACTTGATTCTTTGCTTTGCTCTTCATAACATTACCTGGATCGCGTCGACGTCTATCGTATATGAATTAATAATCAAGCACCTGCTGTACGAAAAAGTGGTAAGTCCATATTTAGCCAAGAGCAGCAACCACGGTGCTAAGAACTCAACATGAACTTTTTACAGTATGAATTAACTTGAACCAGGTTTCACTCCTCCTTTACCACATAATCGATTTAGAGCCTGTCGGCGAAATGGACGGCATTTTAAGACTCTGAATTCTGTATGATCTAATGAATTGGCACTGTGCCTCACTGGAATATTTCAGTCGTTGGAACGAAGCTCTTTCGTAACATAGTTAATCCAACATCAGTGAACATATGTTCCCAAATCAAGTCGCCCCCTTCTGTCTCGAATTCAATCGGATTTTGATAATCTTCAGAATATCTCTCTTGCTTTAATCATTTCTCGGATCATCTTCTCCTCTGTTAACGCGTGAAATTTTTCATCCAAGAACTGTTGATGCGCTATTGAATCTCCACAGCGCTGCTGTCCAACCTGATCTTAATGCAAGTCTCCTGAGATATTTCAAAGTTTGCACTTTGAAGCCGGTGCTCTTGAATTTTATACGTGCTTGATGTTTGTTTACTCACATTTCCGTAATGCGCCATTAAGTCTGATCATTGTGTGAATTTGCAGCGCTATATTTTAATGCATATCGTACATATATAATAATATTTCCAGAGATGTCCTAAAAATAACACCAGAAGCGATTGAAACAGCACTGGTCTCCAATTCAGCTAGCTGTACGCTGCGGATATTCTCTTGTTCCTTACAAATGATTCTCTTTTTTCCTA